TCTGAGTGGCAACTACAAAATAAAATGCTATCAAACCGGATCGAACCGTTTAAGTTTCCTGGTTCTGGGATGTCTATGCTCCAGTCCAGACCAATCCGATTCTTTTTCTTTTGTGGTCACTGTTAGTGTTTATTCATTAAAAACCGGACCAAAATCTATAAGTTTACATAGTCTATTTGACGTAAAATCGAAGTCCAACCTAATTATCAAACGAAAAAAATAAAGGTTAAGTTAATTACAACACTTTAAAGAGATTGGCCGATATACATCCACCACTTGGCAACGAAACTCCGTTTCGGCAAGATCTGCTTTCTTTTTTCAACAATTAACCTCATCTTTGATCATTTTCACCGTCATGACACTTCACCCCACTATCTATTGAAGAGACCCATGACTAGCTCATTGAGAGACGAAGGCATCATTACTCCTAGATGCAAGAGGATTCGAGCAAAACGAAGGAGAGAATCTTCATCGCTACCACCAAAGTGGAGAACTCTGCAAGAGGCGAAAACACACAAAAAAACCTAATTCCAAACACAGTTGGAAAAACTAAGATCCAAATTAACTCAGAGTGAGATATCCGATCAAAAATGGAATCATAATCCATGATCGAAACTATAAACTACAAAAGATAGTTTCTTTCTAAAATGTTCGAAAGAGAAACTTATACAGTATAAACGATAACATTTTCTTTCGATCAATCCGATTTTATTTGTTGGGTTTTCGTGGTTTGAGTTTTTTCTATATTCGAGAAAGAGAAAGAAATAAAAGAATCTGAATGTACTAARCTATTACAGTTACATAGTTCTTATTTTTGTGGCCAATTTGTTATAAGAAGTTAAGACTTTAATTAGATATTGAGGTGTTGTCTAACATTTTATATCATGTAAACATCTATTTACAGTTTGTGGTTTTTCGGTTGATCAATTTGGTATAGATTAAAATTCATAAACAACTAAAAAAACTTAGAACTTTAAGAGAAAAGGGGGGAGGGGGGGTTATAATAGAGTGTGTTGATTTTAAAAGTTTTGAGATTTGTCAAAATTTTGTAGAGAGATTTGTTAAGTTACAAAAGAGTTTTGTGTATTCAATAAATCTATCAATAATGTATTGTAAGAATTTTCATAATCTCATGTATAT